TGATTTTTAATATCAATAGTAGCGCAACTTAACACCAAATAATAAAATTATGCATTACTTGCATAATATTATATTAAATTTTTTGTATATGCAGTGTACATGACCGCACATCACTTCTGCTCACCAAAAAATTTCAAACACTGTACATATTGGCATTAATTTAATTGCCCACACTACACATCACAAATGTAGTTTTCAAAATATTACAATATTACTATATCACTAGCCTTTAACTAGAGTCTATTACCAAATTGATCTATTCAATGCTTTATATATAGCATGTTACTTTATATATACATAAATTTTCTACAACTATAATTTATTTATAGATAAAAAATATTTTTAAAAAATTTCATCTATATTATTATATTGCTTATTTAATGAAAAATTTTCAATTTTAGAACTTATAAAAAACTTATTTTTATTATTATTATTATTATTATTATTAATTATTAATTATTATTATTATCCTAAACACAGTACTAATAATATGCTTAATCCCTAATCTTAACGTCCCTATAAGAGTCTTGTTTCATACAAGAAACCGTTGTGTTCTGGCATTCATAAATTCGCTTAAGAAATGTGGTGAGTGAGATGGTCTCACTCAAGTGATCTCAGTACCTTCCTGGGCTGCCGCCTGGGCCTCTAGACACTCCACATATAAGTCCTGTTCATGCCACTTGGCTGCTAGCTCGTCCTTTGTCATGCTGTCCAATTGCTGTTGTGTTAGCTTCACACGCCTTGGTTGTCTAGGTGAATGAGGACTGCTTTTTCCTCCTGTACTATTATTTTGTGGACTTCTTGGTGAAGATGGACCGGCAGATTTAACATCATTGCACTCCTCTGCCATTTTATGTCAGATGTAATAAAATCACACCCAGGATCTTAAGTAAGTTTTGAAGCTTACTTCTTCTTTAATTCTTTAACTGCAACGGGTGTGTTGATAATATGCTATTAATGCTAGCATACATTTGCCTGAAAAAAAAACTTTTTTTAGTATATATATTACACTGATAATATAAATAAATTAAATAACTATATTATATTAAAAATGTAATATTATTTGCAAAGTTATTTTTCAAAATATATAATAATTGGAAATAAAATTAATTAATTTAAATTGAATTATTATAATCATAATATATAATTATCATGAACATATTTATTTTTACATTCAATAATTCAATAATTGTTGTATAATATATAAATAATGTAATTATTTCATAAAAACTATAATAATAATACTTATATAATATTCAAGAATATAATATTCTTATATAGAATAATATATATATATATATATAATGTAATAAGGTTATATAGTATAAGTTATAATATATTTTAGTATTATATATATTATAATATTAAAATATATTATATATACTATGATACTAAAAAATATTATAATATATATAATCTTAAAATATATTACTGTGAATAATAAATTATCTACAAAAATTATATTTATAAATTCCTACACATAGTTCATATTTAATTCAAAATGACATATTAATATTTAATATTTTATCGCAAAAAATTTGAATATAAATATAAAGTTACTATTATTATATCTAATGTTGTAAACGTGAAGTATAACATTACTATATGCATTATTTACAAATATTTTATCTTCAGATTATTCTTCCACTTGTCATATATTGCAATAAAACTTTTACAAGGCGCAGGTTCAAATCCGGCTTTTAGAACATACCGCGTGATTGAAGAAGGTCACGTGGCACGTTTAATGTTTTATTGCGACATGCAAGGTAGGGAATGTAAGATCCAGTTATCTATAGTCGAAGGGAGCATTGACGCCATTATGTCGACTTGCTGCCATGAACGAAAATTTCGCGATATAAGATTAAAATATATTGTCTTATTTAGATCATTAAAATCACTTATATATATGAATTATAAAATAGATTTAAAAATTCATACAAAATAATACACCTGTAATCATACAACTATCCAGATGTTTGATTTAGTTGTAATAATTATAACTCTTTCCTAACATAGACCGTAGTATACTCATTATAATGTAATATCATTTAACAATGTAATATCATTTTTATTCATTTCACATACCTGATATACTGACACACCTATCATTCTTGAAAAATGTTTATATCCAGTATTGGGTATAACGTGAAACGATGAAACACGATACCATGTATGTATATACACATGCACAAATGTATGTGTATGTATATATATGATATATATGTATACAAATGTAATTTCGTAGTGTCTTATAAGCAAGTAGAAGCTTTTGTTAACAAGTTCCTCGATTTATCAATCAAAAAGAGAATAAATGTTATGTATAAAGTTTGTCTCAATGTCCCGCGCATTTAAATATACATCAGTACGCGCACACGATACACATATCACGAAATCTCTTGAAACCATGCCACTACAGTCTTACACAGTAATGTAACTAATCATGAACAATGATTACTGCCGACTTCACGTTCAGAGCTAAAGAAACGAATATCAGCGCATGCTCCAATCACAATTGTCCAACTATAGTACTGACATAGAAATATACCAAATATTTTTCGATTAACACAATATAGAGAATATTCAAATAAAAAAACAAAATTTCAAAAAATCACTATCGATCAGAATGATATGTTTAATATGTTTTTCATAATTACTTGCTATTAATTTCTGTTTATAAATTTACAATTATATTAAATACATCACGTGAAAGTTCTAATATATACGTATATTTCATATACCGAATCAAATTTCTGAATTAACTAGGTATATAATTGTGATATTCTAAATAATCTACAATATTTCAAGATGGCATGTTTAAGCCCGCCATTTTCAAAGTACTTAATAATACAAATTTCAGATAAATAATTACTTTGTATAAAAAATATTCTTTTTAAAAAATAAAATACTTTAATTATTTGAACAATATATATTTTTAGATATTATAAAGTAATTAAATATTCTAAAGTAATAAAATATCTGAATAAATCTTCGTTTAAAATGATGTAAATATAAAATTAAAATTATCTAATTGTCTATTAAATAATATAAATGAAAAAAAAAGAATTTATTATTTCATAAGACTAATTCTTGATTTTTTTTATTTTATTTTTTTATAGTTCCTGAATTTATGTTTGTCGATTTTATTGATTTTATTTTAATAGGTGTTGTTTTTGAAATTTTTGTAGGTGGTTTAATCATCGAAATACGATTATTTGTTGTATTAAGCGTTTCCAAATTTGATGAAGCACTATTTTTTTGCTCGGGAGATGTAAATTTTTTTGTTCTTATTAAATTTCTGCAATTTAAAAAAAATAGGATATACGGCTTAACTATCATATATCAGTTCACACAAATAAATAACATCATTTATACCTATTCGATAGATCAGAATTGATTGTAAGATTTATTTTACTCATGCTGTATCTTCCGCTTTCCAAAAATTTTTTTCCTGTGTCTGAAGGTTTTAGCAATGAAGTATTAGAATTAGCAGGTGAGGGAATATAAAAACTATTACGGCGAACCTTGGATTTTGAATTCTCTTGTTCAAGTTTTAAATTTCTTCGAGTAAGAGGTTTAGAAAGTGTTGGTTGAATTTTTGGGGTTTGTGCTAAATTTCCCGAAATTATTTTTTGCTCGTGACTTAATTTTGATAAAGACTTGATATTTGAATTTGGTCGAGTTGATTTGTAAGGACTAATAATAGCAGCTGTATTTGCCGGTGCTGATTTTACAGATGCAGCATCATTATCTAATATAAAGATAAACAAATCTATTAATAATTATCTAAAAAAGAGTTATTGTTTCCAAATTATATTTATCTAATATATTATAATCACCTTGAAAAGGCGATAAATCGATCGATGTCTTCGGTTTATTAATTAATAAAACATTAAGAGCTTTTTCTAAGTTTTGTTGTGCTCTTAAAATATATTCAGTCACATTTTTAGGATTCTCAATTTCGCTTTGTAAGGAAATTTGTCCTAAAGACTTAGATAATTCAGTAAGTATAGCAGGAGAACTCGTGAGTTTTGGTGGTGATGGTCGTGGTTCTCCATCTAAACTGCCGGTTTCGATATCCCATGTTTTTTGACGTTGAAGAATAGGTCCTTTTTGAGAAGTAGTGTGACTTACAGATGATTCGAGATTCGTATTCTTACTTTGATCCTCAAAAATACTCTAATATTGCAAAATTATTAGTAAAAAAAAATTTTAATATCACAAATAAAATATTTACATTTAAATTGATATTGTTTGTACGAAAACATATTTCCGGTTGTGTATGACTTCGCGTAACATTTTTTTTTGAAGTATCCTGAGCAGTTCTTCGTTCGTAAGATATATTATTTGTGCGTGAATTATTTAAATTTATATCTGTATTGCGATTAACATCCGGCTCGTATACGATTGTATCAAATAATTTATATGATACATCACGCAAAACTCGTGTAACGTCTTTTGATAAACGAGGCAATAGATTACTACCAGTTTCTTCTACTTTTTGTGCAATATTATCCTGAAAAGAATATTAAGATATTTTACAGAATGTTCTAATTTTAAAATTTATTATTCTTATAAGTTTATAATTTAATTTTATAAACTGATTTTCAAAAGTGAAAATTTTTTAGATAATAATTAAATTAAATCAAAATTATAATAGATGTTTTAAAAACATACGATACTTCCAGTAGGTTCGGTACCACTAATTGTCCAAAAAGATGCATCCTTAATATGATCAGAATTAGGACATTGACATGTAATTCCTCCTAATTCTAACACTGCTTTCATATTTGATATATCACATTCGATTGCAACTTTAAGAATTCCTTGTTCAGGTTCTATTTTCATATTATTTTCATTTTTTTTAAAGATAAGTGGATCATTATACTTTTCAAACGAAAGCAATTTAAATCCGATCGCTTGTAAAAAGGTAGCTAATATTGATACATCTAGTTTTGTAGAATGTCGAATATCGCGCATTTCTTCATCAACATGCGCATGCAGTCCGTTTATCCATTTGAGTATCCATTGGTAAAATTTTCGTTGTGCACTCGTAGATTGTGAAATAACACACGTACCGGTATCCATCTCGAAGAAACATAAACTGAATAACATAGAAAACAAACTGTTCTTGAAATTCATGTTTAAATTTTTTTTTATTCACAACGGAATTATTAGTAAATTCATATTTGTATTGAATATATAACAGTTCTTGCTATTGGATTATAAATATTCAAAATAATACATGTAAGCAATGTTAATATATGTACAATTTACACATGAAATTAAATTAGAGTTTCATTATTTAATAGTTTCTATAATATATTAATGTGAAATATATGTGCATACACTATGTTATTAATATGTTAAAAATATTTATTTAAATATTTGTTATTTGTTATTTAAGTACTTACATAATTATAAAGATACAAATTAATATTTTTTTTATAAATTCTTAGAAATATAATTTCATATTTCTAATTTTTATTTATAGTTGCCAACAAAAATTAAAGCGTAAATGATATAATTGTTATATCATAATGTAAGAATTATTTTCTAATTAAATTCAAATTGTGCGTATTCGAATTTTTTTGAACTTTATTATTATGCATATTTTATAAAAATTATATTGTAGTTTTTATAAATATTCTATTATTATATCAATTGTTATTTTATATATATTATGTAATGTTATATAAAATTTTTCATTAGATATATTTAGGTTATATTAAATACAAATAAAATAAAAATTAATTCTAAGGTTTTCTTAATTATGAATTAATTAATTATATATTTCACTTATTCTTTTTTTTATTTATAAATTTTTTGTGTAAATATATATATAAATATAATAATTTATTGTATTTTTTATTTATAAACCAATTATTTCATTTTTTTAATTTCAGAATCTGTGAAAGATCAACTATTTTATAATGAAAAAATTTTTAGAAGTTGTTATAGCATCTGTTGTTGTATCTACACAAGCACTTCCACAAACTTGGTTTTTAGATTATTATAGGAAATTTAGAAGTAGATATGAGTAAGTATAAAAAAACAAAAAAATATTAAGAATTTTGTTGAATATAAAATTATTAATTTTACCAAATTATATAATAGTTTTAATAATAATGAAATACCAGTTCGAAAAGATATTCAACAAAAATTTCAAGAAGTAATAAATGATTTACATATACCAAAATCAACAAGTGAAAAAATTAAACTTTTCAATGTTTATGATATAAATATGTTTCATGCTGGAACAACAAATTTAAAATATGGTGCTATAATTGGAATTCCAATAAATTTTGAATATGATGATATTAAGAATATGTCAGAACAAGCCATAACATTTCGAAATATACAAGTTGATTGGAATCCAGAAATTAATAAAGAATTTCAAAAATCATTAATACTTTCAGAAGATGCCCAAAAATTTTTAATGGCTCGTAAAATTTTAACAGTTACAGAAAATTATTTGTTATATAAAATATTTAATATATCTATAGATATATTAGTGGGAATAATAATATATGAATTGCTGTATTTAGTATTAAATGTTACCAAGAAACAAAGAGGCAAAAATATTTTTTGTATGAGTGTTGCTACATTTACAAGTGGTTTTTTCTGGTTATTAATAAGTAATGTACAACATTATTATAGAGAACTCCAACTCAATGAAAAAATGGTTGCACTTAATGATAAATATATTAAAGGTGGTATAGAATATTATGAAAAATTATCAAAAAGAATAAAGCCTTAAGAATACTTTTAGGAAAAAAAGGTACACATCTATTTACATCTAATGGAAATGAGAATACTTTTCTTGAAAAGTCAATTTCAGTTTCTGATCAAATAGATTATTTTAAAGCAAGAGTACAAAATATCCAATTAGCATAGTGTGTATACAGTGTATAATATAATATATATTCTAAAAATTGTAAAAAAAATTGTAATAAAATTGACATTAAATTTATTATTATTAATTTTAAATTAATAAATTAACTTTATTTATTAATATTTATTAATTACATAATTTATGTACAATACAAATATTATTTTTAAAGATATTCTTATTTATAATAAAATTAAATATTTCAAATTAAACTATTTATAAAATATTATATACTTTTGACATGTTTGCATTTTATTATATAAAAAATTATAAGAAAAAAAATATTTATAAAGTTATAACAACCTTATAACAATAATTTTTTTATTCTATTATAAATGGTTATAAAAGTTAATAAGTAATAGCATGCTTATTGACAAACAATTAATATTTATAATTCTATTATAATAAAATTTTATATATATATATATGTATATATATAAAATATAATAAGAAGTAAAGTAATCATATCTAATGTTTTTACCTGTAAATTCTGTAAAATTTTTTACAATATTTTTCTTTAACATATATTATATTGACAGAATAGATCTTTTTAAAATATATATTCTATAAATAAATACAAGATACTTACAACCTAATATACAAAAGTACTTACACAATTTTTAAAGATATAGTATTTTGCACTATGTGAGACCTAGAGAACCAAGCTGAAACATTAAAAGATTAAAATTTAAAATAAGAAAATCACATATAAGATATTTATAAAAGTTTACATCAAACTTCTTGAATATGTAATATTCAAAATCGATAAAAAATTTTTTAAAAATTAATTTCATTTAAATATTTATTAATAAAATAATTTGTCTTTATTGAATTTAATATATTTTTTCAAAAAGATAAATCTTTAGATTAATGTTTTTTAATTTGATTTATTTTAAAAATTTTTTACCAATGTCATCTTATCTTCTTCTTTTTTAAGTATTTTTGCTGTTTGTTCTTGATCAAATTTGACAACTGCAGCAATCACTCTAGCAAGCACCATTGTTTCTCTTCCCATCATGTATTCAAATAAAATGTTTCTGAGATATTCAATTTCTGTTGAATCTTCTAATGTATCATGTCTTAACTTCATTAATTTTCGAAGTTCAGCTAATTCTCGTCTTTGAGCTGTTAGAGTTTGTTGAAGTGTGTGGAAAGAACCAGTATTTGATTGTACAGCTGCCATTGCAACTTGTGAAGTGCTTTCTAATTCCTAAATAAAATTTCATTTTTAATTAATTAATTTTTTGTTCCTTATTTTAATTAAATTACATATTAAGAAACAATATTACAATATTACAATATTAAAATATAATTAATTGAATGAAACAAATTGAGTAAAAGATTTTACCTTATCAACTAAATCAGTTTGTATATCAGGCTGGAAAAAAATAAATAAAAATAAATAAAAATATAAATAAAGTTATAGAAAATTAAAAAAGTAATATATAATGTTGAAATAAATAGCAAAAAACAAAAGAAATTTTAAAGTGGATAAAATATAAAATATAAAACATGATATTATCAAATATTATATATTTTTATTATTTTATTTCAACCAACCCTTCTTTCATTTCGCCATTCTCGCGTTAATTCATTAATTTCTTCCTCATGCTTTGCTTCCAATATATTAGTTTTTTGTTGTATAACTGATTTCCATTTTTTTTCTATTTCTTTAATTTCATCTGTATGATCTTTCTTCATTATTGTAATCTTTTCCATTAACTGATTTATATCTTTTGCTTTTTGTGACATCAAATTTTTATTTTCTAAAATTAAATTCTCAATTTGTTCAGATTTAGCTGTCAATTCTATTTGAAAATCTTTTAATTGTTCTTTGTATTGTTGTATAAGATTTGATTCATAATTTTGTTGGCGATCTAAACAAGAAATATATTATTATTTATGTTATTATTTATAATATAATAAAGTAATATAGCATAATATTTATATATTATATATTAATAATTTTATATAGTCATAATTATATTAATTATATAATTTATTTACCATCATTATAGAATTCTTATTAATCAGATAATTAAAAATATAATTTTGAATATAGAATAAATTTTTAATTTACCAAAACGTTTTTCTAAGGCAGCATGTAGCTCTTCTTCCTTATCATGCAATTGTGCTTGAAATTCCTTAACTAATTGTTTTAATCTCATACTTTGTTCTTCTTCATTTATTTTCAATTCTTGTTTCAAATTATCTACTTGATTTTTCAATTCATTACTAATAAATTGCATTTCTAATTCTTTTGCTTGGAATGTTATTAATGCTTCATCTAGTTGTGCTTCTAATTTTTTATTTTCTTCTTCTAATTTATCATTTTTTTGTATGGAAAAGTCATCTACAACTTTATTACTATTTATATTTTTTATCTCTTCATTCAATGCAATATTTGATTCTCTAAGAACTTTTATTTCATTTTGTAACTCAGTAATTGTTTCTTTTAAATGTTTGACTGTATTTGTTGATTTTTTTGTTTCTGCCATTGTTTCTTCTTCAGTGGTTGAAAATTTTAATCTCTCAATTTCTTTCAATAATTCCATATTTTTTGTATCTAATAATTTTAATTCTGCTACTTTTTCATCTATTATAACTTTTAATTCATCTATTTCTTTAGTTAATTGTTTTTTTTCTATGTTTTCATTCTGTATTTCAAATAATAATTCCTTATTTGTAGTTGTTAATGTATCAAGTTTATTTTTTAATTCATTATTTTCACATTCTATTTGATTTAAATTGGAAACCTTAGATTCTAAATTATTTACATAAGATTGAAGTTTTGTATTTACATTTTCCAATTCCGTAGTTTTATTTTTCAAAGATAGGTTTTCAATAATTAATTCATTATTTTGAAATTGTGTCTCTTCTAAATTAGCTTTTACTATATTTAAATTGTTTATTTCTAAATTTAAATTATTAATTTCTTCTTCAACAACTTTTAATCTTTTAACTTCTTCGTTTGAAAATTCTAATTTCATTAAAAGTTCTTTATTTTTTTCTTCTATTTCATTATTATTTTTTAAAGTTAAATTTAACTTATCTATTTCATTATGTAAGTTTTCATTTTCTTTTGTTAGATATTCTTTAGTCTCTTCTATTTTTTTTTATGTGATGTTAATTCCTTGATTTGGAAATTCAATTTTTCATTGTTACATTGTAATTCCGAATTTAATAATACAATTTGATTTTTTAAGTTTTCTATATGCTGTTTTTGTTCATTTAAAGAAATTTTATATGATTCAATTTCTTTTTCTAATTGTTATTTTCATTTTGTAATTGTTGATTATATTTTTCGTAATTTGTAATTTTTTCTTTTAATTTTTCATTAGATTCACTTAATTCTTGATTATGCTTTAAAAATTCATTTTGTTTATCTTTTAAATCTTTATTTTCTAAATTCATTTCATTTTGAATTAATTTTAATTGTTCTAATTCAAAACTAATAGTTGCATTATTATTTTTTAATATTTCTATTTGGCAGTTTTCAGATTTTAACATATTCATTTCATTTTCCAAAGTTTTTACTTGTTCTAATAATTTAATATTTAAAGTTTTTATTTCATTAATTTCATCATTTAGATTTTGAATTGTAATATCTTGTTGTTGTTTGATAGTTTTTAATTTTTTTAATTGACAAAGTTTGTTTTGTATTGTTTGTTGTATAGTTTTATTTGAATTTGTAAGTTCAATAATTTCTTTTTCATGATTTTCATCTTTAATTTTTAAATTAATTAAACAGCTTTCTTTATTTTCCAATTCCTCATTTAAAGTATTTATTTTTACTTCTTTTTCAAGTAAATTTTCATGTAAAACTTTAATTTCTAATTGTAAAGTATTTATTTTTTCTTCTAATTTATTGCAGTTAGAGTTTTCAGATTTTAATAATGTAATTGTTTTTGTGGTTTCTATATATTTCTGTTCCAATTCTTCTAATTTTTTTATAGTATTATTTGCCTTCTGAAGTTTATTTTTTAAATCATATATTTCATTTGAAAGTAATTGATTCATTGTATTGACATTATTAAGTTCTTCTTGTAAAGATTTAGATTCTATCATTAATAATTTCACTTGTTCGGGTAAATTTCTTAAATCATATAATTTGAAATTGAGATTATCAATTTCAGCTATAAGTTTACGATTTTTTAAATCAATTTCGCATTGTTGCGCCAATTTTATGGACATATCATTTAATTGCTTATTATATTTTTCCAAATTTATTTCTAAATTAGATTTTAAACATATAGTATCTTTTAACTCAGTTTGTAATTGGTCATATTTTTGTTTAAGTTCTTCAAATTCTTTCAATTTAATTTGGAAATCTACATTATTTTGAATAATATTATTGTTTTTAAAAAAGCATCAAATTCATTTTTTAAGATAGAAATTTCATTATTGACTTCTGTAAAATATTTCATTATATTGCTTTTAATATATATATTATCTTCTTTTAATTTTTTAGCAAAAATTTTATAATTTAAAATATTTTTAATTAAATTATTTTTTTCTTCATAAAGTAAACCAATATTAGAACTATTTGTTTGAAGTTTGTTGTTAAGATCAGAAATAGTAGATTTACAGGATTCAAGTTCTTTACATACTCCTAATAACTCAGTATTTTTATTTTCTAATTCATAGTTTAATTTAATTGTTTCTGTATTGTCCTGTATTTTTTCTTTAAGAATTTTCATTTCAGCTTCTTGGATTAATAATTTTTCTTTCATTTTTTCCAACATTGTTGCATATTCATGTATTTTAGCATTATAATTTTCACATACTTTATCTCTATCAATTAAAGCATTTCTCATATTTTCTAATTCTTTATCAAGACTTTGTATAGTGGCTTGTAATTTTTCAATTGTTGTTTCTGCTTCTTTTGTTTTTTCTTCAGCAATGATTCTTTGTGCATCTTGTTCATTTTGAAGTTCTGTACATTTTAGTTTGTAGTTAGAAAATTCAATATACAAATCTTCTTTATCTGTTTGATATTTTTTAGTAAGCTTTTGTAATTCTTCTAATTTATTTTTCATCTCTTGAAATTCAATTTCTTTTTCATCTAATTTAGATTTTAAATTTTGACATATTTCAGTATCATATACTTTTGTGCTTTTTTCTATATTTTCTTTATTACAATCTTCTTCATGATATTTTAAGCCTATTTTTTCCTCCAAATTAATTAATTTTTGTTGCATTTCTTGTTCTACTGATTTTAAAGCTTCTGATTTTCCATTTGAAATATCTTGTATGACTTCTTTTTTTCTAAATCTGAATTTTGAATATTATATGTTAGTTTTAATTTTTCTAATTCGAATTTATATTTATTAATGATTTCAGTTAAATTTTCTTTGGATTCTGTCATATGTTTCAAATCTAATTGTAGTTTTTTAATTTGTTCTTCTTTATCTTCCAATTCTCTATGTATTGAAAGTTTATTTTCAGCTAAAGATATTACAGATTCTTCTTCACGTTTTTTCAAAATAACCATTTGATCTGTTAAATTTTTAATTTCTGTACATGCATAATTTAATTCTTTATTTTTCTCTGCATATGAAATTTTTAATGTTTCATAATCAGATTCTAATGTATTTTTTTCTGTTAATACTTCAGTAAATTTTTCTTTATTTCGTTTCAAAGATTCCTTATACTTGAGAACAACATTTTCTAATTTTTTTAATTTATCTTTTAACTGTGTATTTTCGACTAATAAAGTATTGATTGGATCATCAGAAATAATTGATGATCCAGTACTTAGATCAATAAGATTATCTTTTAAATTTGTTTTATGATCAGTATCTGATAATGCTTCTAAATTTGGTCCAGTTGTTTGCAAAAGTTTAATCTGCAATGAATATAATATTACAATATGGCATATAATAATTATTAATTTTTTTTAATACTACCTTTGTATTTAATGTATTAATTATATGATCTTTTTCTTCAATATCATTTCTCAATGCTTCTTCTAAATGAGCTTTTGCTTGTTGTTCTAACTGACATTGTTCTTTTAAATCAGCTATTCTTCTTAATACTTTATCTTGAGTTTCTACTAAAACAGATTCTAATTTGTTTTTTATCCTTTCTAATTCCTTATAATGTGTTGCTAAATCAGTATATCTTCCACGATATTTATGATATTTTGCTTGTACTTTTCGATATGCTGAATATATTTGATCTTTTGTAACTTTGTCTAATTGTGAATTTATATTTTCATCTATTTCACTAGCAGATTGATCCATATCAGACTACAAAAAAAAAAATTAATAATTAATTACAATTACATTTAACATACTAATCATTAATTAATCATCTTTTAAATTATTACTTTTATAATTAAAGATATTTTACAATACCTGTAAATGATATAAATTAGCAGGACTTTCATAAATTGGAAAAAGAGATGAAGTATCACTAGTAATACTACTAATTGATGATCTTCTTGAAATACCTATGGAATTTGATATAGGTGATATTAAATCTACATTTTGAAAACCATGTTTGACAGGACTATTTTTAGGAGTTTCTGTAAATTAACAATTAATTCTTATAAAAATTTGTTTAAATTTAAAAAAAAAAATAAATTAAAACTTACCATCTCCTTCTTCTGTTAAACTAAAATTGTCATTAGATGCAGATAATTCTTGTACCGAACTATTGGATAAAGCAGGTGATACAACTGCCTAAATTAAATACATTTGTTAATATATAAAATATATATGCATATGTAAATTTTATTTTGATTACATTAATAAAACTTTTATATTTTGTTTTTATAAAAATACATTTTGTATATATAATTATTAAAAAATATTATTTTTAATAAAAATATACTAATTTAATTTTATAAAGTAAATTTTAAAATATAAATATTCTATATAATTATTTTAATTTTAAATGAAATGTCAAACCTGTGCTAGTTGTTGCATGCTTGCTTGTAATCTGGCAGGCGATTGTTTCATTTCTTCTGCAAGTTTATCTTTAAATTTTTTAAACATTTTGATAAAATTTTATGATATCGTGTCGTTATTATTGAATTATATAAATTTCCATAGACGTGTTTACGTGGAATAAGGTTGGGACTAAACTTGAGAAATGTCAAAAATTAAATAAAATTAAAAGCATTATTCTATATTGTTTGAAAAAACATATTTTAAAAATATATGAATCATTGATTATAAAACACAAATATAAAACACTTTAATGCTTCAAAATAATACGTTTTTATTACGATATATTAAAAATTTTGTATGAGAACTATTACATATATAACGTAGTACAGTTATTGTCATTGATGTTAATGTAGATAGATTGAACTGTCAGAAATTATTTTTGAATAAATATATTTAAATCAGTTTATTTTGTATTTAGTTTATAATTTTTATATAAAATTTTATTTGTTTTTAAATTTATTTAGTTTTTTAAGTCAATTAAAATGAAAAAAAATATACATATATAAATATGAAAATCATTTTAATCAGACTTAAAATAAAATATATAATAGAGAGTGAACATATAATTTATAAAAATTTTTAATTTTTTTTAGTAGTATTTTTACTAGATATTAAAAATATAAATTAACCAAATTATTGAATTAAAATATATAATTATATAATTACAATATAATTTTATATAGTAATTTTTAATGCATATATGTCAATATTGATAATCACTATATATATAAATTCAGTTTCTGTATGTATTGTGTTGCGTATAAATATATAGTTAGTAAGCATAGTTTACATGTGAAGTAGGATACTGTTGCGTACTTTAATTTATTGTAATTTAAAAAATTACAATAATTCTATTTTCAATGATTTGATTTAAAACAAGAATACTTTTATTCTTTAAAAAATGGTATGGTATTATTAAACATAAAATGAAAATAATTAATCTTACATATTAAATTATTAACCTTAGTATTAGTTTTAAAGAGAGAAAATTTATATAAATTAATAATTTATTTATAAACTAAAATTATTATAATTTTGTTAAAAATATTTATTTTATATTTATTAAAAATATAAAAATATAAAAATCATTATAATTTTGAATTTAATGATATATAAAAAATTGTTTTAAATTTGTAAAAAAAGTACTTAAAAAAAATTATAAATTTTATAATTTACATAATTTATAAAATATATATATTTTTTCAGAAATTTTAAAATTCATTTTGAATGTAACTCATTATACATATACATTGTAATATCTTACAGGCTTCAAATGACGGTATACCTCCACCTGCTGCAGTACCTGGATTTCCACCAGCAACTCCAAATATTGCTTCTAGTTTTGTACCACCTATTATGCCCACTGCACCTTTCATACCTCCTCCTAGTTTACCACCTGGTCCACCTGGTATAATGCCTCCACAGTTTTCTATACCTCCACCAGGCTTCAGTTTTCCAATTACTGCTGCTCCTCCACCTGAAGCTGGAGTTATAGGTCAATATCTTTGAAAGAATATTTATCAATTTTTAAAAGCTATATGCTTTTTATTTCATATTATTCTATGTTTATTCTATAATTATTTATATTTTAGCTGCACCTCCTCAAATAACAGCACCAGGGATTCCACCTCCAGCACCTATAACAAGTGAAGCCACATCAAATGTTCAACCTATTACAGCAACAGAAAAAAAGACTGATTGGACTGAACATAAAGCTCCTGATGGAAGAACGTATTATTATAATAGTGTTACAAAACAATCTTTGTGGGAAAAACCAGATGAATTAAAAACACCAAGTGAATTGCTTTTATCACAATGCCCTTGGAAAGAATATAAATCAGAGAATGGAAAAGTATATTATCATAATGTAACAACTAAAGAATCCAGGTGGACTATTCCTACAGAATTAGAAGAATTAAAAGCAAGAATTGCAGCTGAAGAAGCTGCAGCTGCAGCTGCAGCAGTTGTTGCAAGTGCTACAAATACGTTAGTAAAATTTTTATTTATTTTAAAAAAATTTTCATAAAATAGTGAAGAAAGTAAAAGTTTGAAATGTAATTATCATTTTGTTTTTTTAGTATAGTTCCTGCAGGTATCCAACATTTATCTCCAAATGTTACAATTGCAAATACATCTCAAACTAGTACACCAGAACCAGGAGGAAAGTCTGCAATTGAACAAGCAATGGCAGCAACTCTTGCAGCAATAAACATTCCTACTCCACCTGCAAAACCAGATGAAGATAGCAATTCTGCAAAAGGATCAGCAAATGATAGTCGCACCAGTACTCCAGAACCTAAAATGCAATTTAAAGATAAGAAAGAAGCAATTGAAGCATTTAAAGAATTATTAAGAGAAAGAGATGTACCATCAAATGCTACATGGGAACAAGCAGTAAAATTAATTCAAAGTGATCCTAGATATCCACAAATGAAAAAATTAAATGAACGTAAACAAGCATTCAATGCATATAAGACACAGAAACTTAAAGAAGAACGCGAGCAAGAAAGATTAAGGTAAGTAACATTGTGTAATATTATATGAAGTTAACAATTAAATATATTAAAAAAAAAACAATGACAATTATTCAATTATAAAATAGATTGAAAAAAGCTAAGGAAGATTTGGAACAATTTTTGTTAGAAAATGATAGAATGACAAGTATAACAAAATATTACAAATGTGAAGAAATGTTTGGTAATTTAGAAGTGTGGAGAGCTGTAGGCGATTCAGATCGTCGAGACATTTATGAAGATGTTATTTTTAATTTGGCTAAACGTGAAAAAGAAGAAGCAAAACAACTAAAGAAAAGAAATACTAAAAGATTAGCTCAAGTTTTAGATACTATGACTGATGTTACATATAGAACTACTTGGCAAGAGGCACAAGCATTACTTTTACAACATGCAGCTTTTGCAGAAGATGCAGACTTATTAGAAATGGATAAAGAAGATGCATTGCTTGTTTTTGAAAATCATATACGTCAATTAGAAAAAGATGAAGAAGAAGAAAAAGAACATGAAAAAAAACGTAGAAAACGACAAGAAAGAAAAAATAGAGATGCATTTATAGTAAGTTATACAAAATTTTGAAATTCTTTTTATACACATTCTTTTTATTACATTTATAAGTAATTTTTTTCTAAATAAAAATAATTATTTCACAGAGTTTATTGGATGAGCTTCATGAACAAGGAAAATTAACATCAATGTCATTATGGGTAGAATTGTACCCAATGTTATCAGCTGATTTAAGATTTTCAGCTATGCTTGGACAATCTGGATCAACTCCTTTAGATCTTTTTAAATTTTATGTTGAAGATTTAAAATCTAGATTTCACGACGAAAAGAAGATTATAAGAGAAATTCTAAAAGATAAAAATTTTGAAGTGCAAGTTAATACTACTTTTGAAGAGTTTGCTACTGTTGTATGTGAAGATCGAAAATCTGCAACATTAGATGCAGGCAATGTAAAATTAACATATAATTTGTTACTCGAAAAAGCTGAAGCCCGAGAAAAAGAACGTGTAAAGGAAGAAACTAGGAAATTTAAAAAATTAGAAACTGGTTTCAAAAATTTACTAAAAACTCTCAATGTCGATTATCAAATGATATGGGAAGATATAAGAAATAAGATTGAAGAAGAACCAGATTTCAAAGCAATAACATTAGAAAGCGAAAGAGTTAGAATTTTTAAAGAATATCAACATGAACTTGAAGAAAGTTGTAGTCATCATCACATCAGAAGTAAAAAAAAAAAGACAAAAAAAAGTGAAACGAAAATCACGATCACGATCACACAGTGTAAATATATTATATTATATTATGTTTTTACAATTTGAATATTTGTTGTACAAAATTATGTTTTTGTTTATTAGGAATCTGAAGGTAGTGATAAAGGTTTGAAAAAAAAAAGACATAAGTCACGATCACCGAGTATTCCTAGTAAATCGGATAGTTCTGAATCTGATACTAGAAAGTCAAAAAAAAAAGAAGAGTAAAAAGAAGAGAGGTCGTAGTCATTCTGTAAGTTTAAATAATATTATTATAATATAATTGTTTTTTAAATTTAAAATTTATGTTATTTAAAATTTGAATTTAATATAAAAATTATATATAATATGAATAATATATAAAAAATATATATAATATGAATAATATATTCGTCCTTTGGATTGATTTTAGAGGCTAAAAATAGAAAAATATATAAACTTTATTTATAATTTAAAAAATAATTTTAAACTGATATTTTTTTATATTAATTTTTACATTTGTTTTGGCTTATAGAATCAATTCTCTAAAAGTAAATAATTATTAAATATCAACATCCTATATAATCTTTTTTATATTTAGCGATCACATTCGAGACTTCCATCGTCTGAAGAATCACCGGAAAGAAAACGTAAAGAAGAAAAGCATAGAAGAGCTTCTGCTCATAGTGAAGGATCAGTAACAGAAAATGCTGAGCATCATGAACTTTCAGAAGACGAATTAGAAAAACAAGAGCACAATTATTGCGTGAATTACAAATGCAGCAAGAAGATAATTAAAAAGAGTTTACTTGCTGACAATATCTTATGTAATTTTAGATAATTGCAATATTAAATTAATATGATTTGTACAAATTGAATTATTCTTTTATTTCACTAATAATTTCATGATATCTTTATATTTATAGTAATTAAAAAAAGAGATTACATTACATTTTATAATATGCAATGAATCATTTAATTATGAATAAGTTTTATGTAATGTATTTGAACATTTTGATTGTAAGGATATTTTTATAAGATAATTTTTGCAATATATTATATTTTAAAGTATGAAATCTATTTTTGTATAATTTTTTACACAATGATATATTTTATATTTGGTAATATTTGATATATTAATTGATAATATTTTATAATATTTCATATATTGATAATAATGTTATATTTGAGGTATATTATTTCATATATTTTATTTTTCAAATTTTTGAAGATTTTAAATAATATATATTAAGTGAAAATAAGAAAAAAAGGAATGGAATAATAAATTATTTTATTCTTTAAATTTCATACTCTATTCCATAAAATATTTACATAAACATTTAAAAAATCGTTTTGATAAATCAAAATAATTAAATTTTACTTTTTTATAAATTCATATTTATAAAAAAATCATATTTATTTTAATATGATTCAACATTATAAAATAATTTCGAATAAAATATCTTATTAATATCTATTAGTTAATCACTTAACTAATTTATAATTTTAATTAAATCATTTAATTTTGATTTAATCTATAATTTAATCTATAATTTATATTTTGATGTTTTTATAGCTATATTATATTTTTATTCAAAAATTAAATAATGTCCTACTTTCCGGAATTATTATTACGGCCCTGTTTCGAATATAGTCGAATTGTTGGAGGGTGGGGTATATATGGGGGGAGGTTTGGCTTACTATTTGCTCGATGGTTGCCACTGTCGACTTTCGTAGTTTCGACAGGTCAGCATCCTGATCAGTCTATACGGTGATTATAGTGAATAAGTTTTATTGATAGTTTTTCAAAGTTTACACGACGAAGGTAAAGGTGTTCATGTAAAAAGTTATCAAGAGATATAAATTAAAAGAAAAAAAAACAATGTTGAATCTTTGCCGTCAAGCATTAATAGTTAACAATCAAAAGTGAGTAGCTAAATGTGAAACGATTAGCGAAATATGTATATGTATATATACATAGATGAAACGAAATTTCATAGTTAGTGTTTTTTTTCTTTATTGCATATATATAAATTCTAATATAATATATTGATTATTTTCACGCATTGACATACACACTATGTAGCAACGATCATATAAACGAAGGGGCGCGCTTATATGTAGATGTCAGTTTATTGGTGTGTTATTGGTCCTCCGATTCGTTTTCTTTGTCTAATCTTCTCTGTTCGCATACCTCTTTGTTTATGAAAAGGATAGAGTACTTTACGGGTTCCATTGGAATTTTCCACTATAAAATGGACGTGAAAGGTGTTCTTTGATAGTTCATCCATTAGAATTTCTGATAATATATTTTTATCTATTTATTTATTTTTGCAAATCATTTTTCAATATTTTAATATAATATTGAATAATTATTTTAAATAAAAGTATATTTTGTTAAGTTTTGATTACAATTTTATTAATTATTTTTGATTTTTAATATCAACTATACTGATTAGACAAATTAACATATCAGAACATATAAATTTACAAAAAAATCTTCTTATTGTCATATATTTTGTAATTTTAATTTTATTTTATCAGCAATATAAATAATCACACATGATATAACTAAGCATTGATTATAATCATTTTATTGAAAATGATTCTTATAAAATTATTTATAAATATTCATATAAGAACTATATCATATATTAACAGTGTATAAAGTAATATTTTTATTCGTTATACATATATGTGTGTCCTTGAAATATATTTTTACAGACCAATACATATGCATGGAGCAGACAGTATATCTGCTATAACGAATGTATTTTACCGCTTACTTACAAATTTTACAGCGAAATTTTGTGCGTTGACTAAATACTTGTCAATGATAATTTTCTTATTTTCTTATTATTTTTATTCATTTTGTTTCAATTCAAAATTTGATATAATTTTTTGAATAAAAATATTTATTAATTTATACGAACAAATATGAAAATAAAACATTTCATGATATATTAAAAAAATGTTCGTATTATTGAAAATTATACATTTCTACTTTGAAACCTTTGTATGATTAACACGAGCATATCTTTATATTGATTTATTTCATTTCATCTGTTTAATTATTTTATAGTTTCATTAATTTCATTCAATTAGAGCAATTTCTATTATCAAGTTTTCTTTTGCTTAATTAGTAATACAATGATAACTAATAACATGGGTCATTGAGATTGTGTTACATAATATTCTAACTATGGTGTTGGTTGGGGTATATAAGCAAGTTAAAAGAATCTTTCTTTTTCTGAAAATAATTTTTTTATTTTGTGATATATTCTTCATATTTTTTAAATAAAGATTTAATAAAGGATAAATTTTTATTATTTTATGATTAAATTAAAAATTTTAATTAAAAAATTATAATTCATATAAAAATAATAATTATAATTATAATTATAATTATAATTATAAAAATTAATATTTCTGTATTATATTTATCATTTTTTGTTATCTTTATCATTTATTTTTGTTTTATTATTAATTATTATGAATAATGATTTATTATTATTATTATTATTATTTTAAAACAGAAGAAAATTTTTTATGAAAATCTTAATATATTAAAGATAGCATTATAGATTTAACTCTTACTACAAAGTACATAGATAAATATTTACAAATGATATCAAGTTAAGCATAAAAGCTAATATGTGTTTTCTCTCATAATCTTTATTGTATCAGTAAATTTAAACATATATGAACATTTGTAAATATTATGAATATTTAAATAAGTTATATGAAAATGATTAAAAAAAGTTTTTAATTTTAAAATAAATCTAATTTTTTATTATTATTATTATTGGAATAATATATTTAATATTTTTATAAACAGAGTTAGTACAAGATGTTTAGGGACAATAATACCAGTATCAAATACTATTGAATTTCCTTTGGAAAATGAACCTATTCTTAGTTATAAGAAAGGCAGTCCAGAAAGGGCTGAATTAGAGAAGGTTTTGGATAAAATGAGTAATGAATGTGAAGAAGTACCTTTGGTTATTGGAAATGAAGAAATTAAAACAGATTTATGTAGATATCAAGTTATGGTAAGTTCGATGTAATGATTACAAAATAGACAAAATAATAATATGATTAATGGTTATATAATTATGATATATGTTTTAGCCACACAATCATAAAGTAAAAATTGCAAAATATTATTGGGCAACAGCTGATCTAGTCAAAAAAGCAATAGATGTTTCTGTAAAAGCTCAACGTGAATGGGAAAAATATCCATTTGAGAAACGTTTAGAAATCTGGTTAAGAGCAGCTGATTTGATGGCAACAAAATACAGACAGCAATTAAATGCTGCTACAATGCTTGGGCAGAGCAAAACTGTTATTCAAGCAGAAATTGATAGTGCAGCAGAATTAATTGATTTTTTTAGAATGCATGGATATTTTGCTAAGGAAGCTATGAAATATCAACCAATTTCACCCAATTCTAAAGAAACACTAAATTCAATGAGATATAGAGGAATGGATGGTTTTGTTGCAGCAGTATCACCATTCAACTTTACTGCCATTGGTGGTAATCTTAGCTATACACCTGCTTTAATGGTTTGCATTTTTTTTTTAATTATTTCATTTTTATGCGTTTTATTAAATAAGTAATTTATATATATTGCAAATTAAAGTACAACAAACGTTTAATAATAAACATATATATAAAAATTTTGTATCAAATATTTGTAGGGTAATGCAGTATTATGGAAGCCATCTGATACAGCTTTACTTTCTAATTGGTGGATATTTAAGATATGTAAAGAAGCTGGTGTACCACCAGGTGTAGTCAATTTTATTCCATGTGAAGGTCCTGTTTTTGGAGATACCATAACTGCTTCACCTTATTTATCTGGAATTAATTTTACTGGATCAGTTCCAACATTTAATCGTTTATGGATACAAGTTGGTAAAAATTTAGGAAAGTATAAAAACTATCCTAAATTAATAGGCGAATGTGGTGGCAAAAATTATCATTTTGTGCATGCAAGCGCTGATGTGGAATCAGTTGTTAATGGGACCATAAGAAGCGCTTTTGAATTTAATGGTCAAAAATGTTCAGCTTGCAGTAGAATGTACGTTCCAGAATCATTATGGCCACAGGTAGAAATATCGTATTATTTTAATTTCAATTTCAATTTTTTTAAGTAAAGTTTTTTAATTTTAAATGTTACTATCTAGATAAAGGAAGGTCTTCTATCGATTCGTGACACGCTTAAAATTGGCGATGTCAGAGATTTTACCGTGTTCACCGGAGCTGTTATAGATGCTATCGCGTTTAAAAGAATTTCTAGTTATATCGAACATGCTAAAAAATCATCAAATTTAGAAATTATTGGTGGTGGAAAATATGATGATTCGTATGTTTTATTTTTAGCTATTTTATATATTTTATGAAATATATATCTTTATGTCGTTTTTAATTCTTTTTAATCTTTTTCATTAGGATTGGATATTTTATTGATCCAACAATAGTAGTCACAAAAAATCCTAAAGATAAGATAATGACTGAAGAAATATTTGGTCCTGTATTAACAATATATGTTTATAAAGATTCAAATCTCGACGAAACGATGAAATTGGTAGAATCATCAACACCTTATGCTTTAACTGGATCGATATTTTCACAAGACGAGTAAATATTCTAATTTGTTTTAATATATTTATATTATATTTTATTAAATTTTATTATTTTTTAGAAAATGGGCGAGAAGAGCTCTTGAGGAATTTAAATATACAGCTGGTAATTTTTACGTTAATGATAAATCGACAGGTTCGGTTGTTGGCCAGCAACCATTTGGTGGTAGTCGAATGTCTGGAACAAATGATAAAGCTGGTGGTCCTCATTATGCCCTTCGTTGGGCATCACCACAGTCAATCAAAGAACATTCGTTCCTTTACGTGAACACGATTATGCGTACATGAGGTCTTAGATGTAAGTATCATTGTAATAACACAGAGATGCATATAGTGATGTTATTACATCACTATATTATACATTACAAACTGAAAAATACAGATTTTTTGGGTTGTTCAATAAAAAATAATGAAATATCTTTATGCATTCCTTTACGTAAATTCATTGAATTTACGTATAAGGCGCTAATTGCACTCACAATGCAAGTGATATGGCTTTGTAGAAATTTCTACTATAAAGCGAACTGCTTAAACACGAAGTAATTCATGATAAAGATAGTCGATTTACAGAAAAAAAGTATTCAATGATTGGTAATATATATACCAATTGAACAGTATTTTTGTTTTTAATAAAATATTTTTGTTTGTCAATTTGGTATTAGATAGCGTACAAGATAAATGTATACAAGAAAGAATAATATTTGTAAACTACTTTTAAAGTAGTATCTCAACATACATATAAGTTTAATTTAATATTTGCTGCCAATAGATAAAATTAATATTCTGCAAGTTGCAGCATATAGAGTCTATACTATTAAGATCATGTTTCAGTACAATAATATTTTAATATCTCAGGAATTACTATACGTGGTCGTAAACAGAGGCATTTCTTTTGATCATATATTGCAGTAATACATGAAATTTTATAATACACATTATTCAAGTATGGTAATTGAGACACAACATTTGGGGTGTGTTTGAGAATTGTGATGAATGCGTACTAGTTAGAAAAACCATTCGTTGTGTTTTTCTGACCTTACTTTTTTATATTCTTATATAGATCATTTACAATGGCTAATATTATGTTATAAACGCGCAGCGTAAACATTCATTTTACTGTGTAACTTACAAGACAATATGTAGACGCGGGACGAACACAGTAAAATGTAAAAGTTACCTTTAAATTGTGTTGTCAAGCCTGATCGTCGATCGTTTGGGCATGTTATTGTTAACAGTGTGATTGAGACAAAACATCTTGTAAATCGAACAATGAATACTAATTAATTATACAATAATATGTTAGATGTTGTGGCTGATGTTATGATGTAATTTATTTTAAGTGTACCATAGCAATAAAATACTATACAATTAAATATTTATAATACTTATAAATTTCTCAATTAGTAAATGGAATAATTTAATTTTATTTTTCATTGGGATTATTCTTATTTTTTAGAAATATTTTTATAGTTGAAATTTTAAAGTTGAAAAAGTAATTTTTTTTAATTTTAGTATATTTAATATCATTAAATATTTTATTGATATAAATAATTGCCACAGCAAATAAGTGCTACGTCTACTTTTGTATTGTTAGTTATTCTGTAATAATAATTACATTCTTACAAAATGATAACTATTTTTATGAATTGCTATTCGATTTAAATCAAGATGTTCTTTTTATTATTTGTTACAAATTCCAATTTATATAATATATTAATTTTAGTAGTTAAACTGATGTATGTTGAAATATTTACATTCAGGGTTAATTGAAATTTGCTAATATTATTATTTTCAATTGGATAAAATTAAGCTGTGAAAAGTAAAAATCATTTAGAAGATGTTTTTTTTAAAATTGTTATTTAATTGTTTCGTTGATATATTTTTGATATTTAGTAAAAACTTTATCAGTTATAAAAAATGCCTTTTATTTTCTCTTATTTTCACTCATTTTTTATTATACCTACATTCCTGTGTAGAATAATATGAATATATATATATATATATATATATATATATATATATATATATATTAG